GGGGCAGGGACAGGTGGGTGGGGGGCAGGACAGGGGGGGGGGGGGGCAGGGACAGGTGGGGGGGGCAGGGACAGGTGGGGGGGGGCAGGACAGGTGGGGGGGGCAGGGACAGGTGGGGGCGCAGGGACAGGTGGGGGGGGGCAGGTCCGGTGGTGGGGGGGCAGGGACAGGTGGGGGGCAGGGACAGGTGGGGGGGCAAGGGACAGGTGGGGGGGGCAGGGACAGGTGGGGGGGCAGGGACAGGTGGGGGGGGGGCAGGGACAGGGGGGGGCAGGGACAGGTGGGGGGGGCAGGGCCAGGTGGGGGGGGGGCAGGGACAGGTGGGGGGCAGGGACAGGTGGGGGGGGCAGGGACAGGTGGGGGGGGGCAGGACAGGTGGGGGGGGGGGCCAGGGACAGGTGGGGGGGGACAGGGACAGGTGGGGAGGGGCAGGGACCGGGGGGGGGGCAGGGACAGGTGGGGGGGGGCAGGGGGACAGGTGGGGGGGGCAGGGACAGGTGGGGGGGGCAGGGACAGGTGGGGGGGGGCAGGGACAGGTGGGGGGGCAGGGACAGGTGGGGGGGGCAGGGACAGGTGGGGGGGGCAGGGACATGTGGGGGGGGCAGGGACAGGTGGGGGGGCAGGGACAGGTGGGGGGGCAGGGACAGGTGGGGGGGGCAGGGAACAGGTGGGGGGGGCAGGGACAGGTGGGGGGGCAGGGACAGGTGGGGGCAGGGACAGGTGGGGGGGCAGGGACAGGTGGGGGGGCAGGGACAGGGGGGGGGCAGGGACAGGTGGGGGGAGGCAGGGACAGGTGGGGGGGGCAGGGACAGGTGGGGGGGGCAGGGACAGGTGGGGGGGACAGGGACAGGTGGGGGGGCAGGGACAGGGGGGGGGGCAGGGACAGGTGGGGGGGCAGGGACAGGTGGGGGGGCAGGGACAGGGGGGGGCAGGGACAGGTGGGGGGGGCAGGGACCGGTGGGGGGGGCAGGGGACAGGGGGGGGGGCAGGGACAGGTGGGGGGGGCAGGGACAGGTGGGGGGGCAGGGACAGGTGGGGGGGGGCAGGGACAGGTGGGGGGGGCAGGGACAGGGGGGGGCAGGGACAGGGGGGGCAGGAACAGGTGGGGGGGCAGGGACAGGGGGGGGGCAGGGACAGGTGGGGGGGCAGGGACAGGTGGGGGGGCAGGGACAGGTGGGGGGGGGGCAGGGACAGGTGGGGGGGCAGGGACAGGTGGGGGGGCAGGGACAGGGGGGGGGGCAGGGACAGGTGGGGGGGGCAGGGACAGGGGGGGGGCAGGACAGGTGGGGGGGGCAGGGACAGGTGGGGGGGCAGGGACAGGTGGGGGGGGCAGGGACAGGTGGGGGGGGCACGGGACAGGTGGGGGGCAGGGACAGGTGGGGGGGGCAGGGACAGGTGGGGGGGGGGGCAGGGACAGGTGGGGGGGGGGCAGGGACAGGTGGGGGGGCAGGGACAGGTGGGGGGGGGCAGGGACAGGTGGGGGGGCAGGGACAGGTGGGGGGGGGGCAGGGACAGGTGGGGGGGGCAGGGACAGGTGGGGGGGCAGGGACAGGGGGGGGGCAGGGACATGTGGGGGGGCAGGGACAGGTGGGGGGGCAGGGACAGGTGGGGGGGGGCAGGGACAGGTGGGGGGGCAGGGACAGGGGGGGGGGGCAGGGACAGGGGGGGGGGCAGGGACAGGTGGGGGGGCAGGGACAGGTGGGGGGGCAGGGACAGGTGGGGGGGCAGGGACAGGTGGGGGGGCAGGGACAGGTGGGGGGGCAGGGACACTGGGAGGCTGGGTTCAACAATGGGTCTGGGCATCTGTCTGTCTCTCTGTGTCTCTGTGTCTCTCTCTGTCTCTCTGTGTTTCTGTGTCTCTGTCTCTCTAACTCTGTCTCTGTGTATCTGTCTCTGTCTCTCTCTGTCTCTCTGTCTCTGTGTCTCTCTGTCTCTCTCCATTTCTGTCTCTGTCTTTCTCTGTCTCTCTCTCTGTGTCTCTGTCTCTCTCTGTGTCTCTGTCTCTGTCTCTCTCTCTCTCTGTCTCTCTGTGTCTCTCTGTGTCTCTGTGTCTCTGTGTCTCTCTCTCTGTCTCTGTCTCTCTCTCTGTCTCTCTGTGTCTCTGTCTCTGTGCCCAGGGTCCGAGGGCGGAGGCTCTGATGCGATCGTCGATGGAGCGAGGCCGCTGGCTCTTCCTGCAGAACTGTCACTTGGCGCCCAGTTGGATGCCCACGCTGGAAGCCCTCGTCAGCGGCATCGAGCCGGACAAGGTGAGCCCGTGCCAGGCTAGGTGCATGAGGTCACGGGACAGACCCAGAAGGTGTCTATGGGATGACTGCTGTGCCAGGCTAGGTGCATGAGGTCACGGGACAGACCCTGCAGGTCTCTATGGGGATGACTGCTGTGCCAGGCTAGGTGCATGAGCAGAGGAGGTTACGGGACAAACCAGCAGATCCTGTGTCTGTCCCCATGTCTCTGTGACTCTGTCTCACAGTCTGTGGCTGTGTGTCTCTGTGTCTCTGTGTCTGTGTCTCTGTGTCTCTGTGTCTCTGTGTCTTTGTGTGTCTGTGTCTATGTCTCTGTGTCTGTGTGTCTGTGTCTGTGTGTCTCTGTGTCTCTTCCTATGTCTCTGTGTCTCTGTGTCTCTCTCGGTGTCTCTGTGTCTCTGTGACTCTGTGTTTCTGTGTCTCTGTGTCTTTGTCTGTGTGTCTCTATGTCTCTGTCTCTGTGTCTCTGTGTCTGTCTCTGTCTCTGTGTTTCTGTGTCTCTGTGTCTCTGTGTCTCTGTCTCTCTGTCTCTGTGTCTCTGTGTCTGTCTCTGTGTCTCTGTGTCTGTCTCTGGGTCTCTGTGTGTCTGTGTGTCTCTGTGTCTCTGTGTGTCTCTGTGTCTCACCAGTGTGTCTCTGTGTTTCTGTGTCTCTGTGTCTCCGCAGGTCCACCGAGACTTCTGTTTGTGTGTCACGAGTCTGTGTGTCACCAGTCTGTGTCTCTGTGTCTCACCAGTCTGTGTGTCTGTGTCTCTGTCTCTGTGTCTGTGTCTCACCAGCCTGTCTCTGTCTCTGTGTCTCTGCAGGTCCACCGAGACTTCTGTTTGTGCGTCACGAGTCTGTGTGTCACCAGTCTGTGTCTCTGTGTCTCACCAGTCTGTGTGTCTGTGTGTCTGTGTCTCTGTCTCTGTGTCTGTGTCTCAGCAGCCTGTCTGTGTCTCTGTATGTCTGTGTGTCTCACCAGTCTGTGTCTCTGTGTGTCTCTATGTTTCTGTGTCTCTGTGTCTCTGTCTCTGTGTGTCTGTGTCTCACCAGTATGTCTGTGTATCTCTGTGTGTGTCTGTGTGTCTGTCTGCAGTTCCACCGCGACTTCTGTCTGTGTGTCACGAGTCTCCCCAGTCCCCACTTCAACGTCTCGCTGTGTCTGTGTCTCACCAGTGTGTCTCTGTGTCTCTGTGTGTCTCTCTGTGTCTCTGTCTCTGTGTCTCTGTGTCTCTGTGTCTCTCCCCAGGTGCACCGTGACTTCTGTCTGTGTGTCACGAGTCTGCCCAGTCCCCACTTCCCCGTGTCGCTGCTGCAGAACTCCTCCAAGATGGCGCTGGAGCCTCCACGTGGCGTCCGCAGCAGCCTCGTAAAGGCCTTCGCAGGCCTCAGCGAGGACTTCATCTCCTCCTGTGCCAAGGTGGGCTACTCACCACCACTCACCACTCACCACCACTCATCACTCACTACTCACCACTCAGCACCACTCACCGCTCACTACTCACCACCACTCACCGCTCACCACCACTCACCGCTCACCACCACTTATCACTCACCACTCACCGCTCACCACCACTCACCACTCACCACCACTCACCACTCACCACCACTCATCTCTCACCACTCACCGCTCACCACCACTCACCGCTCACCACCACTCACCACTCACCACCACTCACCACTCACCGCTCACCACTCACCACACTCCACCACTCACCACTCACCACTCACCACCACTCACCACCACTCACCACTCACAACCACTCACCACTCACCACTCACCGCTCACCACTCACCACCACTCACCACTCACAACCACTCACCACTCACCGCTCACCACCACTCCTCGTGAAGGCCTTTGCAGGCTTCAGTGAGGCCTTCATCTCCTCCTGTGCCAAGGTGGGCTACTCACCACCACTCACCACCACTCACCACCACTCATCACTCACCACCACTCACCACTCACCACCACTCCTCACCACTCACCACCACAAACCACCGCTCACCACTGCTCACCACTCACCACCACTCACCACCACTCACCGCTCACCGCTCACCACCACTCATCACTCATCACCACCACTCACCACCTGTCTCTGTCTGTGTCTCTGTCTCTCTGTGTCTCTGTCTGTGTCTCTGTGTCTATCGCTGTGTCTCTGTGTCTCTGTCTGTGTCTCTCACTGTCTCTCTGTGTCTCTGTGTCTCTGTCTGTGCAGCCGACGGAGCTGAAGTCTCTGCTGCTGGCTCTGTGCCTGTTCCACGGCGTGTCTCTGTCTGTGTCTCTGTGTCTCTGTCTGTGTCTCTGTCTGCGTGTGTCTCTCACTGTGTCTCTGTCTGTGTCTCTGTCTGTGCAGCCGACGGAGCCGAAGTCTCTGCTGTTGGCGCTGTGCCTGTTCCACTGCGTGTCTCTGTCTGTGTCTCTGTGTCTATCGCTGTGTCTCTGTGTCTCTGTCTGTGTCTCTCACTGTGTCTCTGTGTGTGCAGCCGACGGAGCTGAAGTCTCTGTTGCTGGCGCTGTGCCTGTTCCACGGCGTGTCTCTGTGTCTCTCACTGTCTATCGCTGTGTCTCTCTGTGTCTCTCACTGTCTCTGTGTCTCTGTGTCTTTGTCTGTGTCTCTCACTGTCTCACTGTGTCTCTGTGTCTCTGTGTGTACAGCCGACGGAGTTGAAGTGTCTGCTGTTGGCCCTGTGCCTGTTCCACGGCGTGTCTCTGGAGCGCCGCCGCTACGGGCCGCTGGGGTTCAACGTCCCATACGAGTTCACGGAGGGTGACCTCAGCATCTGTGTGAGCCAGCTGCACATGTTCCTGGGAGAGTACAGCAGCGTCCCCTTCAAGGTACCCGCCACCACCAACACCTACACCACCTACACCATCACCTACACCACCTACACCATCCACACCACCACCACCACCTACACCACCAACACCACCTACACCACCACCACCTACACCACCACCACCTACACCACCACCTACACCACCACCTACACCATCACCTACACCACCACCACCTACACCACCACCCCCTACGCCACCACCCCCTACACCACCACCTCCACCACTTACACCACCACCACCACCTACACCATCACCAGTGGCAGCCCCAACAGTCTGGAACGATATCCCTCTGCACATTCGCAGCATCACCTCAATCGCCTCCTTCAAGAGACACTTAAAAACTCACCTCTACAATCACGCGCTTTCGAGCGACTCTGAGCTTGGCTCCGCGCCTCTGAGTTACGGCCACTACGTCTGCAAATTTGCGCGCGTTACAAATTGAACTATTATTATTATTACCACCACCTACACCACCACCTACACCATCACCACCCACACCACCACCTACACCATCACCACCCACACCACCCTCACCACCACCACCTACACCACCACCCACTCACCGACTCACTCACTCACCCCACCCACTCACTCACCCACCTACCCACCCCACCCACCCACCCACTCACCGACTCACTCACCCACCCACACACCCACCCACTCACTCACCCCACCCACTCACTCACCCCACCCACCCACTCATCCACTCACCCACCCACTCACCCACCCACCCACTCACCCACCCACCCACCCACTCACCCACCCACTCACCCACCCACCCACCCACTCACTCACTCACCCCACCCACCCACCCACTCACCACCCACCCACTCACTCCACCCACCCACCCACCCACTCACCACCCACCCACTCACTCACCCCACCCACTCACTCACCCCACCCACTCACTCCACCCACCTACCCACCCACTCACTCACCCACCCACCCAATAACCCACCCACCCAATCACCCACCTACCCAATCACCCACCCACCCTCCACTGCCACCATCATCACCACCACCACCACCACCATCTTACACCATTATGGTCACCGGCGGTTACCTCTGCGGTTGCCTTGGCGACCGGCAGGTGCTCAGGTACACGGCGGGGCAGATCAACTACGGTGGGCGCGTGACGGACGACTGGGACCGCCGGACACTCTGGGAGCTGCTGAGCCACTTCTACAGCCCCGAGAGCCTGGACCCCACACACAGCTACACCGAGTGTGGCACCTACAGGCAGATCGCCTCCAACACTGAGCTGTCGGTGAGTAGTACCACTACACACTCACTCACCTACACACTCACTCACCTACACACTCACTCACCTACACACTCACTCACCTACACACTCACCTACACACTCACCTACACACTCACTTACCTACACACTCACTCACCTACACACTCACTCACTCACCTACACACTCACTCACCTACACACTCACTCACCTACACACTCACTCACCTACACACTACACACTCACCTACACACTCACTTACCTACACACTCACTCACTCACCTACACACTCACTCACTCACCTACACACTCACTCACTCACACACTCACTCACTAACCTACACACTCACTCACCTACACACTCACTCACCTACACACTCTGGACCCCACACACAGCTACACCGAGTGTGGCACCTACAGGCAGATAGCGTCCAACACTGAGCTGTCGGTGAGTAGTACCACTACACACTCACTCACCTACACACTCACTCACCTACACACTCACTCACTCACTCACCTACACACTCACTCACCTACTCACTCACCTACACACTCACCTACACACACACTCACTCACCTACACACTCACTCACTCACCTACACACTCACTCACCTACTCACTCACTCACCTACACACTCACTCACCTACACATTCACTCACCTACACACTCACTCACCTACACACTCACTCACCTACACACTCATAAACACCTACACACTCACACAACAACAACAACCGCCATTCGCCACTGAGTGGCGGTGATGTCACCACGACGCTTGTGCCAGGCCATGTGCACCTTGAGGCCACGTGAAGTGTCGAACACCCGCTGGCATGAGGTCACGGGGCAGACCCAGGTGCCACGGGTCGACTGAATGAGATGACCGAGATGACTGGCTGATGCACCACCTGTACCCCCTACTGTGCCAACTTGCTGTGCTTTAGCCACCCGGCGCTCCGCTCGTTGTTGTGAGTGTCGCTCCTCCGCCCTCTGTTGTTTTGGAGGGCGACTGCCTCCAACTGCCCAGTAGCAGCGTCTTCACGTGCCTCCTCCACATCCTTCTGTACCACGTCACTCCATCTCTTCTCTAGCCCGTGCCGCGCCCATTTAGCCCCCTCGATCCGGCCGAACAAAAGCTGTTTAGGTATGCGGTGGCTGGGCATGCGGGCTACATGACCCAGCCAACGCAGCCTTGCCTGTCGGAGGTGCTCACCGAGGGGACTTTGTCCAGATCTTTCAAGGATTTGTGAGCTCATCGCACAATCCAGCCTGGTTAAACCCAGGATTGATTGTAGGCAGACCAGCCTAAATGTTTCTAACTGGCGAAGGTGTTCCATTAGGGGGTCTGTGTTTCGCAAGCACACACCTACACACACCCACACACCTACACACACCCACACGCTCACACACCTACACACACACACCTAGTCACACAAATCCGGGGGTATATGATCTCTATCTGTGTGTGGGTGTAGTGGATAGTAGTGTAGTGTATAATAATCTAGTGTAGTAGTGTGGTGTATAGTAGTGTATAGTAGTGTATGGTAGTGTATAGTGTAGTGTATAGTGTATAGTAATGTGTGTGTGTAGTATATAGTGTATAGTAATGTGTGTGTACTGTATAGTGTATAGTAATGTGTGTGTGTAGTGTATAGTGTATAGTAATGTGTGTGTGTAGTGTATAATAATGAGTGTGTAGTGTATAGTAATGTAGTGTATAGTGTATAGTAATGTGTGTGTGTAGTGTATAGTAATGTAGTGTATAGTGTATAGTAATTTGCGTGTGTTTGTGTAGTGTATAGTAATGTAGTGTATAGTAATGTAGTGTATAGTAACGTGTGTGTGTAGTGTATAGTAATGTAGTGTATAGTAATGTGTGTGAAGTGTATAGTGTATAGTAATGTGTATAGTGTATAGTAACGTGTGTGTAGTTTATAGTAGTGTATAGTGTATAGTAACGTGTGTGTAGTGTATAGTAATGTGTGTGTGTAGTGTGTAGTGTATAGTAATCTGTAGTGTATAGTGTATAGTAGTGTGTAGTATATAGTAATGTGTGTGTAGTGTATAGTAATGTGTGTGTAGTGTATAGTAATGTGTGTGTGTAGTGTATAGTGTATAGTAATGTGTGTGTGTAGTGTTTAGTGTATAGTCATGTGTGTGTAGTGTATAGTTTATAGTAGTGTATACTGTATAGTAATGTGTGTGTAGTGTATAGTGTATAGTAATGTGTGTAGTGTATAGTAATGTGTGTGTAGTGTATAGTGTACAGAAGTGTGTGTAGTGTATAGTGTATAGTAATGTAGTGTGTAGTGTATAATAGTATGTAGTGTATAGTGTATAGTAACGTGTGTGTAGTGTATAGTGTATAGTAATGTAGTGTATAGTGTATAGTAATGTAGTGTGTAGTGTATAGTAATGTAGTGTATAGTAATGTAGTGTATAGTGTATAGTAACATGTGTGTGTGTGTGTGCAGGGCTACTTGCAGTACGCCCGCAGCCTGCCCCTCACAGACTCCCCGGCCGTGTTTGGGCTGCACCCCAACGCCAGCCTCACACTGGCGCACAGCGAGGGAGCGGCGCTGCTGCTGGCGCTGCTGCAGATGCAGCCGCAAGACGCCGCTAGCGCTGCCGCTGGTGGTGGCGTTGCAAAGTCACGCGACGAGGTGACGCAGTCGAGCACAAACACGTACAACATACACTACACTATACACTACACTATACACTACACTACTATACACTACACTATACACTACACTATACACTACACTACACACTACACTATACACTACTATACACTACACTATACACTGCACTGTACACTACACCATGCACTACTATACACTACACTATACACTACACTATACACTACACTATACACCACACTATACACTACACTATACACTAGGAGGTTATGGGACAGACCCTGCAGGTGCCATGGGTTGGCTGCTGTGCCAGGTTAGGTGCAGGAGGAGGAGGTTATGGGACAGACCCTGCAGGTGCCACGGGTTGGCTGCTGTGCCAGGCTAGGTGCAAGATTAGGTCATGGGGACAGATCCAGCTGGTGCCATGGGTTGACTGATTGAGATGGCAGATTTACCACCTGTTCCCCCTACTGTGTGTATCTCTGTGTGTGCATCTGTGTCTCTGTGTGTGTATCGACTTGTCATCTGTAAGATGCGCCTGCCATACTTCCACTCCGGTGGACCCCATTGAAACCCATAGTGGCCTGGTCTCAGCTAGCTGTTGAAAGTTGCAAGCGAGAATTTCATCATCGCTTGCAGCTGGGGTTGGCATCGTCCCCCACTCCTCCTGATGTCGAGAGGAAATGGGCGAGGTTTAGGACTGTGGCTCATGCAGCTGCAATGGCTGCTTTGGGTACACGGTCCAGACCTCCTCCGACACCCTGGCTGACAGAGGAGGTGTTCAGGCTGGCTGAGAAAAAGCAACAGGCCCACTGTCATTGTCAGCAAATGAGGAGGCTTACCGCAGCCTTCATTAGCAGATTCGTATAGCCGTGCGGCGCTGCAAGGATGGGTGGTGGGCAGCGGTTGCTGAGGAGATGGAATCTGCCTCAGCAGCCCGCAATCACAAATACATTTTTAATTCCATCAAAGAAGTAACTTGCAGCGCCTCACCTATCTCCATCCTTGAGGAAAGAGTGGTAATCTGATCTCCGACCCCCAGGAACAGGTCTGCAGGTTTGCAGAGATTTTCTGTGAGGTCTTGAGGGAGGGGAATTCCCTCAGCCCAGACAACATCATGGGGTAAGGTGGGGACGACCCTGCTGGGGCTGCTGTGCCTCAAATATTGAGAAAAGTAGCCACCCCATCTGAGTGGTTGGCTGAGGTGCCATCTGTAGAGGAAGTGAGAGGGGCGATCCGGAGTCTGAGACCAGGAAAAGCACCGGGCAGAGAGGATCACCCAAGCAAAATGCTGAGGGAGGGTGGCGTTTGTGCACAGACTGCCCTACATGACATCATAACAACAGTCTGGACCACTGGACGGGTTATGCAGGATTGGAAGGATGCCCTGGTGGTCCCCCTCTTTAAGAAGGGGGACCGCACAGACTGTAGGAAAAACGCCAGGCAGAGACATGTTGAGGGAGGGTGGCATCTGTGCGCAGACTGCCCTAGATGACATCATCACACCTGTCTGTACTGTAGTGAGCCCAAAGGCGAGTGAGAGCTGTTACTTGAGGCAACAGTTTATTTAACAACTCAATGCAAGGTCCCTACTATCAGCAATATTTTGCTGTCTTTTCTTGGATTTTCTGTTTGCACATAGTCATTTAAAGATGTTTTCTTGTGCATGTTTTTGTTTTCTGTTTGTTGTGGTTACACCCGATTCAAGAGCCAAATGGCTCACAGGGCTATACCTAATAAATTAACTTGAACTACTATGAAGGGCAACCGCCCCTTACACCTGCTACCTGGGGAGGTAATGGCCTCCGCGCTATCGTGCCTCCTAACACTGGGGCCCAGAACCAGAGACATATAGACAGACATATAATCAGACAGATATCACAGAGATACATAGAGAGAGACAAACACAGGCACACAGAGAAACCACGCCTCTGTGTCAAGGCCTTAAATAGAGAGAGGGGGCGGGAGTGGAGAGAGAGGGAGGGGTTAGAGAAATTAGCATGTCAATGAATGGCACGGTGAGTGGCACGGTGCAAAAGCTTGAGAAAATTAGGAGACCTGGAGAGAGACACGCAGTGGGGCCCACTCGACACTCAGCCCTCTGGCTAGGGACCCTAGGGGAGGCCATCCTGACCCGACCCAGCCAATGTCCTCGGCTCCCAGCCACTGGCCCACTCAGTCCAGGCCCTTAGAAGGACAGCAGGTCTGGGGGTCTACCCAGCGTCCGACCGCTGTCTCACTCAGTCCAGGCCCTTAGGACAGCGGGTCTGGGGGTCTACCCAGCGTCTAACTCTAAGCTCGGTCTTCAGTCTCCGGCTTCGGGACGACTGCCGAACCCGTTCAGGTGTCCGTCTTTTAGACACCTCCCCCCAGGGTCTCTCCGGCCCTGGCCACGCCTCCCTTCCGGGGTGTTCCAGGGGATCCTAGAACAGTCCCCCAGCCACCCTCCTGGGGTCTGGGGAACCTCGGTGGCCCACATTTCACCCCCTACTGACGTATGTCCGCTAGTGCAGGTAGGTGCACCGTGTGTTCATGGCGTTACAGTGCCACAGGACATGCTCCGCAGGATTGGAAGGATGCCCTGGTGGTCCCCCTCTTTAAGGGGAGCGGTAGTGTACCGGTTAGCGCTACGCTGCGCTACGAACCTGGGGACCCGGGTTCGATTCCCGCTCACGGCCAACACCAGTGACGATTATCTGAACCGGTCCAGGGCCTCCCCTAGGTCTACTCGGCCTCAAATGAGTACCTGGTGCAGTGTGTAAATATGGCCACCCACCCCCTCGTGTGCCGTGCCGGCCTTTATAGGTGCTCGCTTACAGCACTTTGTGAATAATGTGTGTGTCTCTGTGTGTCTCTGTGCATATATCTCTGTGTGTCTCTGTGTGTCTCTGTGCGTATATCTTTGTGTGTGTGTCTCTCTGTGTCTCTGTGCGTATATCTTTGTGTGTGTCTCTGTGTGTCTCTGTGTGTCTCTGTGCGTATATCTTTGTGTGTGTATCTATGTGTCTCTGTGTGTCTCTGTGTGTCTCTGTGTGTCTCTGTGCGTATATCTTTGTGTGTGTATCTGTGTGTCTCTGTGTGTCTCTGTGTGTCTCTGTGCGTATATCTTACTGTGTGTGTCTCTGTGTGTCTCTGTGCGTATATCTTATTGTGTGTATCTATGTGTGTCTCTGTGTGTCTGTGTGTCTCTGTGTGTCTCTGTGTGTATCTATGTGTGTCTCTGTGTGTCTCTGTGTATATCTTTGTGTGTGTATGTATCTGTGTCTCTGTGTGTCTCCGTGTGTCTCCGTGTGTCTCTGTGTGTCTCTGTGTGTCTCTGTGCGTATATATCTGTGTGTCTCTGTGTGTCTCTGTGTGTTTCTGTGTGTGAATCTCTGTGTGTCTCTGTGTGTATATCTTTGTGTGTGTCTCTGTGTGTCTCTGTGTGTCTCTGTGCATATATATTTGTGTGTCTCTGTGTGTCTCTGTGTGTGTATCTCTGTGTGTCTCTGTGTATCTATGTGTGTCTCTGTGTGTCTCTGTGTGTGTATCTGTGTGTCTCTGTGTGTATATCTCTGTGTGTCTCTGTGTGTCTCTGTGCGTATATATTTGTGTGTCTCTGTATGTATCTGTGTGTCTCTGTGTATCTCTGTGTGTTTGTCTCTGTGTGTCTGTCTCTCTGTAGGTGGTGGAGGAGGTGGCTAGGCGCGTTCTCGACGAGGTCCCGGTGCCGCTGGCTGAGCGCGAGCTCGTGGAGAAGTTCCCCGTCCGCTACGACGAGTCCATGAACACGGTGCTGGTGCAGGAGGTGCTGCGGTGAGTCACAGCCACAGTCAAAGCTCCCCCAGGTAGCCTCGAGCAGGCCTGGAGGGGGGGCAAGTGCCGTCAGTAGCACGCGGCACCTGTGAAGTAGACAAAGGCAAAGCTATTGGATCAAGGGCGCTGCGGTGGCTGGGAAATGTTAACTACCTCGCCTGGTATGCAGGAGGTCGTGAGTTCGATCCCGACCCTGACAATGCCTGCTGCTGTATTTGGAGTTTGTGTGTCTCCCTCATCATCATCACGGTGGCCAGGAGATGTTAACTGCCTCGCCTGGTATGCAGGAGGCCGTGGGTTCGATCCCGACCCTGACAATGCCTGCTACAGCATGCAGGACCCGTGTCTCCCCGTGTCTCCCCACGTCTCATCCCCACATCTCCCCGTGTCTCATCCCCACGTCTCCCCGCGTCTCCCCACATCTCCCCGTGTCTCATCCCCACGTCTCCCCGCGTCTCCCCACATCTCCCCGTGTCTCATCCCCACATCTCCCCGTGTCTCATCCCTGCGTCTCCCCGTGTCTCATCCCCGCGTCTCCCCGTGTCTCATCCCCGCGTCTCCCCGTGTCTCCCCGCGTCCCCCCGTGTGTCTCCCCGCGTCTCTGCCGTGCAGCTACAACCGTCTGCTGGAGGCTGTGCGCTGCAGCCTGCAGGCCCTGCTGCGTGCTCTGCAGGGCCTCGTGGTGATGTCCTCCGAGCTCGAGTTGATGGCTCACAGCCTGTACACCAACGCCGTGCCAGCACTGTGGCAGGCCAAGGTCAGTCACCACGGAGACACCACGGAGACACCGCGGAGACACGGAGACACAGAGAGACACAGAGAGACACAGAGACACCACGTGGACACGGAGACACCACGGAGACACGGAGTCACAGAGAGACACCACAGAGACACAGAGACACCACAGAGACACCACAGAGACACAGAGACACCACGGAGACACGCAGACACAGAGAGACACAGAGAGACACCACCGAGACACGGAGACACGGAGTCACAGAGAGACACACAGACACCACAGAGACACAGAGACACCATGGGGACACGGAGACACGGAGAGACACAGAGAGACACCATAGAGAGACACCACAGGTGGTGCAGGGTACGAGCTCGAGTTGATGGCTCACAGCCTCTACACCAACGCCATGCCAGCGCTGTGGCAGGCCAAGGTGAGTCCCCACGGAGACACCACGGAGACAACACGGAGACACGGAGACACGGAGAGACACAGAGACATGGAGACACGGAGACAGAGAGACACACAGACACCACAGAGACACAGAGACACCACGGAGACACCACGGAGACAGAGAGACACAGAGAGACACAGAGAGACACAGAGAGACACAAAGACACCACGGAGACACAGAGACAGAGAGACACAGAGATACCACAGAGACAGAGAGACACACAGACACCACAGAGACACAGAGACACCACAGAGACACGGATAGACACAGAGAGACACAGAGATACTACAGAGACACGGAGACAGAGAGACACACAGAGACACAGAGACACCACAGAGACACAGAGACACCACAGAGACACGGAGAGACACAGAGAGACACAGAGACACTACAGAGACACGGAGACAGAGAGACACACAGACACCACAGAGACACAGAGACACCACAGAGACACGGAGAGACACAGAGACACACAGAGACACCACAGAGACACCAAAGAGACACAGAAGCACCACGTGGACACGGAGACACAGAGACACAGAGACACCACAGAGACACGGAGAGACACAGAGAGACACAGAGACACTACAGAGACACGGAGACAGAGAGACACACAGAGACACAGAAACACCACGTGGACACGGAGACACCACGGAGACACAGAGACAGAGAGACACAGAGACACAGAGACACCACGGGGACACCACGGAGACACAGAGAGATAGGGACACGGAGAGACAGAGACACAGAGACACCATGGGGACACCACGGAGAGACAGAGACATGGGGACACGGAGACACAGAGACACGGAGACACAGAGACAGAGAAATAGAGACACTACGGAGACCCCACGGAGACACAGAGACACGGAGACACCACGGGGAGACATGGGGATGTGAAGACACGCTGGTGATGGTGGTGATGGTGATGGCGGTGGTGCTGTTGGTGGTGGTGATACTGCTGGTGGTCATGATGATGGTGGTGACGGTGTTGGTGGTGGTGGCGGTGGTGCTGGTGGTGGTGGTGGTGATACTGCTGGTAGTCATGATGATGATGATGGTGGTGACGGTGATGGTGGTGATGGTGGTGGTGCTGGTGGTATGACGCTGGTGCCGGTGGTGATGGTCGTAGTGATGGTAGTGGTGGTGGTAGTGGTGGTGGGTGCTGGTGGTGATGGTAGTGGTGCTGGTGGTGATGGTAGTGGTGATGGTGCTGGTGGTGGTGGGTGCTGGTGGTGGTGGTAGTGGTGCTAGTGGTGGTAGTGGTGCTAGTGGTGGTAGTGGTGCTGGTTCTAATGGTAGTAGTGGTGCTGGTGGTGGTGGTGCTGGTGGTGGTGGTGCTGGTGATGGTAGTGCTGCTGGTGGTGATGGGTGCTAGTGCTGCTGGTGGTGGTAGTGGTGCTGGTGGTGATAGTAGTCGTGCTGGTAGTGGTGATGGTAGTGGTGCTGGTGGTGGTGATGTTGGTATGACGCTCGTGCCGCTGCTGCCGCACTGCAGGCGTACCCCTCCCTGAAGCCGCTGGCTCCGTGGCTCTCCGAGTTGTCCCGCCGCGTCGACTTCGTGAGCCGCTGGGCGGCCTCCGACGGCCCCCCGGCCTCCTTCTGGATCGGGGGCCTCTTCTTCCCGCAGGCCTTCCTGACGGGCACCCTGCAGAACCACGCCCGCCGCACGGGCACCGCCATCGACGCGCTCTCCTTCACCTTCCAGGTGACTCCGTCTCTCTCTGTGGGTCTCTGTGGGTCTCTATAGGAGTCTCTATAGGAGTCTATGGGTCTCTGTGGGTCTCTGTGGGTCTCTATAGGAGTCTCTATAGGAGTCTATGGGTCTCTGTGGGTCTCTATGGGTGTCTGTGGGTGTCTGTTGGTCTCTGTGGGTCTCTGTGGGTCTCTATGGGTGTATGTGGGTATCTGTGTGTCTCTGTGGGTCTTTGTGAGTTCATATGGGTCTCTGTGGGTGTCTATGGGTCTCTGTGGGTGTCTATGAGTCTCTGTGGGTCTCTATGGGTCTTTATGGGTATCAATGGGTCTCTATGGGAGTCTATGGGTCTCTATGGGTCTCTATAGGAGTCTATGGGTCTCTGTGGGTCTCTGCCTTCCTGACGAGCACCCTGCAGAACCACGCCCGCCCCACCGGCACCGCCATCGACGCGCTCTCCTTCACCTTCCAGGTGACTCCGTCTCTCTCTATGGGTCTCTGTGGCAGAGGTCGCAACCGGGTACCCGATACCCGTACCCTACCCGAAACCCGGCTACCCGTACCCGGCCGGGTACGGGTACGGGTAGCCGTTTGTGACCCTGGTGCGGCCGGGTACGGGTACGGGTAAGGAATCAAAACCCGTTTGCGACCTCTGCTCTGTGGGTGTATATGGGTATCTGTTTGTCTCTGTGGGTCTTTGTGGGTGTATATGGGTGTCTGTGTGTCTCTGGATCTCTGTGGGTCTTTGTGAGTTCATATGGGTCTCTGTGGGTGTCTGTGGGTCTCTGTAGGTCTTTGTGGGTCTCTGTGGGTCTCTGTGGGTCTCTATGGGTGTCTATGAGTCTCTGTGGGTCTCTATGGGTGTTTGTGGGTCTCTATTGGTGTTTATACGTCTCTGTGGGTGTTTATGGGTCTCTATGCACCTTGATGAGTCTCTGTGGGTCTCTGTGTGTGTCTTTGGGTCTCTATGGGTGTTTATCGGGCTCTGTGGGTGTTTATGGGTCGCTGTGGGTCTCTATGGGTAATTTATCAGTCTTCATTGATGTATATGGGTCTCTATGGGTTTCTATGGGTGTCTGTGGGTCTCTATGGGTGTCTGTGGGTCTCTATGGGTGTCTGTGGGTCTCTATGCGTGTCTGTGGGTCTCTATGGGTGTCTGTGGGTTTCTTTGAGTCTTCATGGGTCTCTGTGGGTCTCTTTGGGTGTATGTGGGTATCTTTGAGTCTCTATGGGTCTCTGTGGGTCTCTAGCCACCACAAATATCCAACAGGCATCCTCAGGGTCGGGATTGAACCTCACAACCTCCCGCGTTCCAGGCAAGGTAGTCAACATCTCATCATGGTTGGGATTGAGCCCACGACCTCCTGCATACCCGTTGAGGTAGTTAACATCTAGTCAAGGGAATGAGAGAGAGAGAGAGACAGGCAAACTCCAAATATACAACATGTTTCATCAGAGTCATGTTCAAACCCCACGACCTCCTGCATACCAGGTGAGGTAGTTTACATCTCATCAAGGTCAGGATCGAACCCGCGACCTCCTGCACACCAGGCAAGGTAGTTAACATCACGTCAGTGTCGGGATCGAACCCATTACCGCCCACGTACCAGGCGAGATAGTCAACATTTCATCAGTGTCGGGATCGAACGCCATGACCTGTCTACCAGGCGAGGTAATGAACATCTCGTCAGGGTCGATATTGAACACACAACCTCCCACGTACCGGGCGAGGTTGTTAACATCTCATCAGGGTTGGGATGGAACCCACGACCTCCCGCGTACCAGGCGAGGTAGTGAACATCTCATTAGAGTCTTGATCAAACTCACGACCTCCCGCATACCGGGCGAGGTAGTTAACATCTCACCAGAATCGGGATCGAACCCATGACCTCCCGCATACCAGACGAGGTAGGGAACACCTCACCAGAATCGGGATCTAACCCATGACCTCCCGCGTACCAGATGAGGTAGTTAACATCTCATCAGGCTCGGGATCGAACCCACGATCTCCCGCGTACTGGGTGAGGTAGTTAACATCTCACGAGAATCGGGATCGAACCCACGATCTCCCGCATACCAGACGAGGTAGTGAACATCTCACAAGAATCGGGATCGAACCCACGACCTCCCGCGTATCAGACGAGGTAGTTAACATCTCACCAGAATCGGGATCGAACCCACGACCTCTTGCGTACTGGGCGAGGTAGTGAACATCTCCCGCTGCGCTCTCCCCCAGGTGATGCGCGATCCGGCCGAGGCCCTGGTGAGGCCTCCGCCCGACGGCTGCTACATCTGGGGCCTCTTCCTGGAGGGCGCCCGCTGGGACGCGCCCAGCGGCCTCCTAGCCGAGTCGCTGCCGCGGCAGCTCCACACCCCCATGGCCGTGCTGTGGCTCAGGCCTCGTGTCCAGCAGCAGCAGCAGCGGCAGCAGCAGCAGGAAGGGGAGCAGCAGGGAGGGCTCGGCGGCGATGGCGGCGATGGCGACACAGAAGCCGGAGTCTACTGCTGCCCCGTCTACAAGACGTTGGCGCGAGCTGGTGAGTGGGGAGTACGGGGTGGTGGTGGTAATGGTTGTGATGGTGGTGATGGTGGTGGTGGTAATGGTTGTGATGGTGGTGATGGTGGTGGTGATGGTATTGGTGGTAATGGCGGTGATGGTGGTGGTGATTGTGGTGGTGATAGTAGTAGTGGTGGTGATGATGATGATGGTGGTGGTGGTGATGATGATGGTGGTGGCGGTGATTGTGGTGGTGATAGTAGTGGTGGTGATGATGATGATGGTGATTGTGGTGTTGGTGATGGTGGTGATGATGATGGTGGTGATGGTGGTGATGATGATGATGGTGGTGGTGGTAATGGTTGTGATGGTGGTGATGGTGGTGATGGTGGTGGTGATGGTATTGGTGGTAATGGCGGTGATGGTGGTGGTGATTGTGGTGGTGATAGTAGTGGTGGTGGTGATGATGATGATGGTGGTGGTGGTGATGATGATGGTGGTGGCGGTGATTGTGTTGGTGGTGGCGGTGATGTTGGTGGTGGTAATGGTTGTATTGGTGGTAATGGTGGTGATGGTGGTAATGGTGGTGGTGATTGTGGTGGTGATAGTAGTGGTGGTGATGATGATGATGGTGATTGTGGTGTTGGTGATGGTGATGGTGGTGATGATGATGGTGGTGGTGGTGATGATGATGGTGGTGGTGGTGATGATGATGGTGGTGGCGGTGATTGTGGTGGTGGTAATGGTGGTGATAGTAATGGTGGTTATGATGATGATGATGATGGTTCTAGTGGTGGTGATGGTCTAGTGAAGGTGGTGGTGATAATCGGCTTGTTGCCACCACAGCAGCCAAATGGGGGCTCTGGATGGGTGCAAGGGGCTGGTAATCCCTCCACCTTCATCCTAACTATCACTAATCCACGTGTTACAAATCTTTACAAACTTGTGCCGAAGGCCACGGGGGGACAGGCGTCTATCACGTCTCCTGGCCAAACCCAATTTGGCGGAGCCAGGAAACTGAATCTTTACCCACGGGGCTCCTCCAGAAACAACAAAAAGCCACTGTGGGTGGCCACGTGGAATGTTTGAACGCTCACTGCGGATGAGAGGCTGCCACTCCTCTGTAGGGAGCTGGACCGGTACCGCCTGGATTTCTGCGGTATTCAGGAGGTCCGGTGAACTGGTTCTGGCTCCTGCCACCATGAGGGGTGGACAGTCCTCTACTCGGGGCAGGAGACTACCAAACAACAGGGAGTGGCTCTTCTTCTGAACAAAAGAATGAAGGGGGCACGGGAGCATGGAGGTGAGGTGTGGGAAGCTGTAAGCCCCAGGCTACTTTGGGCTCGCCTTCCCATCAACCGGAGGCGAGGAGTGGTGGTCGTGGTTACTTACGCCCCCACCAAAGATGAACATCAGTGGCGGGATGCAGGCAAGACCGATGAGTTGAATGCTTTCTATGACCTCCTGTCACATGTGCGAGCTAAAGTGGCCCCTCGGGATAGAGTCATCCAGTTGGGTGACTTTAATGCCCGAGTTGGTCATAATGTTGGCACCTGGTCTGGAGTGATTGGCAGGCATGAGCTAGATCAGCTCAATAACAACGGTAGGAGGCTGCTAAACTTCTGTGCAGCCCATGGGCGTGTTACCAACATGCAGTTCCGGCATCGACGCGTCATCCACACATCATGGATGCATGCCGGGTCCAAGCAAGAACATCTACTAGACTATATAGTGATGGAACAGCGGATACTGGACCATGTAGTTGATTGTGTGAGGAGTTAACAAATCCTTGAAATATCTGGACGCAATCTTATCGGTGAGCTCCTCCGGCAGGCAAGGCTGCACTGGTTGGTAGCCAGCATGCCCGGCCACCGCATGCCCAAGCAGCTGTTTGGCCACATTGAGGGGGCTAAATGGGAAAGACATGGGCTGGAGATGAGATGATGAGTGAGTTAGTGAGTGGGTGAGTTAGTGCACGGATGAGTTAGTGAGTGAGCGAGTTAGTACGTGGGTGAGTTAGTGAGTGGGTGAGTTAATTCGTGGGTGAGTTAGTGCGTGGGTGAGTTAGTGAGTGAGCGAGTGAGTGGTACGGGCTAGAGAGTAGATGAAGTGATGAGGACATGGAGCTGAGTGGACTTGCCGATGACTGGTACCAGCGGTGTCAAGATCGGCCTCTGTGGAGGAGGCTCGTGAAGGACGCTGCGACTGGGCAGTTGGAGGCAGTCGCCCTCCAGCAACAATGGAGAGGAGCGACAAATACAACGAGTGGAGCTCCAGGCGGCTAGAACACAGAAAGTTGGCACAGTGGGGGGGGGGGGGGGGGCACAGGTGGTGCATCTACTGGTCAACTCAGTCAGTCGACCCCATGGCACCTGTTGGGCCTATTCCGTGACCTGCCAGTGGGCGTTCGACACTTCATGTGGCCTCAAAGTGCACCAAGCCTGGCACAAGCGCCGAGGTGAATGTCAGCTGTTGCTGTTGTTGTTGATGGGGGGTGATGGTGATGATGATGATGACAGTGATGATGGTGATGATGATGGTGATGACGATGATGACGATAATGATGATGGTAATGATGATGACGATGGTGATGACGGTGGTGATGATGATAATGGTGATGATGATGGTGATGATGATGTTCACGATGGTGATGACAATGATGGTGATGATAATGATGGTGATGACGATGGTGATGACGATGATGATGACGATGGTGACGATGGTGATGACAACGATGGTGATGACAATGATGGTGACGATGCTGATGACAATGATGACGATGATGGTGGACAGGAACGCTGTCCACCACCGGTCACTCCACCAACTTCGTGATGGCCGTTGACCTGCCGAGTGACCGCAAGCAGAGCCACTGGGTGAAGCGTGGAGCTGCCTTGCTGTGCGCCCTCGACTACTGAGCAGGTGATACAGTGGTACTTCAAGGCACTAGGGGCCGTCCATAAATGACGCCACGCACCTGGGGGGGGGGGGACATTTGCGACGATGTGTGACGAGGGGGGGGGGGTCGGTTGAGAAATGTGACGTCACATCAAAATGCGCAACTTTAAATAAATATAGACAACACGTTCTACTTAATTAAATAGACTTTGTAATAAATGTTTTCTCCTACAACATCAGAGTGCAGCGCCACATTAAATACGCACTACAATGACAATAGTTTAAAGCGATTTGAAGAATGTTTTATTTTGGAGGGGGGGGGGGGCAGAGCTTTGTGACGTCATATTTGAGGGGGTCTGACTTTTTGTGACGCCGTGTGACGAAGGGGGGGTCAAAAATCTTCCAAAATCACGTGACGTCATTTATGGACGGCCCCCTACTAGGTACTACAGTGGTACTACAGTTGTGATACAGTGGGGATACAGTGCTACTACAGTGGTGATACAGTGGTAATACAGTGGTGATACAGTGGTACTACAGTGGTAATACAAAGTGGTGGTACAGTAGTACTACAGTGGTAATACAGTGGTGGTACAGTGGTAGTAGTGGTGATACAGTGGTAATACAGTGGTACTACAGTGGTAATACAGTGGTGGTACAGTGGTGGTACAGTGGTAATACAGTGGTGGTACAGTGGTGATACAGTGATGGTACAGTGGTGATACAGTGGTAATACAATGGTAGTACAGTGGTGATACAGTGGTAATACAGTGGTAGTACAGTGGTGATACAGTGGTGATACAGTGGTAATACAGTGGTAGTACAGTGGTGGTACAGTGGTGATACAGTGGTAATACAGTGGTAGTACAGTGGTGGTACAGTGGTGATACAGTGGTGATATAGTGGTACTACAGTGGTACTACAGTGGTACTACAGTGGTACTACAGTGGTAATACAGTAGTAATACAGTGGTAATACAGTGGTAATACAGTGGTACTACAGTGGTAATACAGTGGTAATACAGTGGTAATACAGTGGTACTACAGTGGTAATACAGTGGTAATACAGTGGTACTACAGTGGTAATACAGTGGGGATACAGTGGTAATACAGTGGTAATACAGTGGTAATACAGTGGTACTACAGTGGTAATACAGTGGCAATACAGTGGTACTACAGTGGTACTACAGTGGTGATACAGTGGGGATACAGTGGTAATACAGTGGTAATACAGTGGTAATACAGTGGTAATACAGTGGTACTACAGTGGTAATACAGTGGTACTATAGTGGTAATACAGTGGTAATACAGTGGTAATACAGTGGTACTACAGTGGTGATACAGTGGTGATACAGTGGTAATACAGTGTGGATACAGTGGTGATACAGTGGTGATACAGTGGTAATACAGTGGTAATACAGTGGGGATACAGTGGTAATACAGTGGCAATACAGTGGTACTACAGTGGTACTACAGTGGGGATACAGTGGGGATACAGTGGTAATACAGTGGTACTACAGTGGTAATACAGTGGTACTATAGTGGTAATACAGTGGTAATACAGTGGTAATACGGTGGTACTACAGTGGTGATACAGTGGTGATACAGTGGGGATACAGTGGTGATACAGTGGTGATACAGTGGTAATACAGTGGTACTACAGTGGTACTACAGTGGTGATACAGTGGTGATACAGTGGTGATACAGTGGTGATACAGTGGTAATACAGTGGTGATACAGTGGTAATACAGTGGTAATACAGTGGTACTACAGTGGTAATACAGTGGTGATACAGTGGTACTACAGTGGGGATATAGTGGTAATACAGTGGTGATACAGTAGTAATACAGTGGTGATACAGTGGTGATACAGTGGTGATACAGTGGTAATACAGTGGTAATACAGTGGTGATACAGTGGTGATACAGTGGTAATACAGTGGTGATACAGTGGTACTACAGTGGTGATACAGTGGTGATACAGTGGTACTACAGTGGTGATACAGTGGTACTACAGTGGTGATACAGTGGTAATAAAGTGGTACTACAGTGGTGATACAGTGGTAATACAGTGGTAATACAGTGGTGATACAGTGGTAATACAGTGGTGATACAGTGGTGATACAGTGGTACTACAGTGGTGATACAGTGGTGATACAGTGGTAATACAGTGGTGATATAGTGGTAATACAGTGGTGGTACAGTGGTGATACAGTGGTACTACAGTGGTAATACAGTGGGGATACAGTGGTACTACAGTGGTGATACAGTGGTACTACAGTGGTGATATAGTGGTACTACAGTGGTGATATAGTGGTAATACAGTGGTAATACAGTGGTGATATAGTGGTACTACAGTGGTGATACAGTGGTGATACAGTGGTAATACAGTGGTACTACAGTGGTACTACAGTGGTGATACAGTGGTGATACAGTGGGGATACAGTGGTGATACAGTGGTAATACAGTGGGGATATAGTAGTGATACAGTGGTACTACAGTGGTACTACAGTGGTGGTACAGTGGTGATACAGTGGTGATACAGTGGTGGTGCAGTGGTGATACAGTGGTGATACAGTGGTACTACAGTGGTACTACAGTGGTGATACAGTGGTGATACAGTGGTGATACAGTGGGGATACAGTGGTGATACAGTGGTGGTGCAGTGGTGATACAGTGGTACTACAGTGGTACTACAGTGGTGTTACAGTGGTACTACAGTGGTACTACAGTGATACAACAGTGGTGATACAGTGGGGATACAGTGGTGATACAGTGGTACTACAGTGGTAATACAGTGGTACTACAGTGGTACTACAGTGGTAATACAGTGGTAATTCAGTGGTAATACAGTGGTACTACAGTGGTAATACAGTGGGGATACAGTGGTAATACAGTGGTAATACAGTGGTACTACAGTGGTAATACAGTGGTACTACAGTGGTAATGCAGTGGTACTACAGTGGTAATACAGTGGTACTACAGTGGTAATACAGTGGTGATACAGTGGTGATACAGTGGTACTACAGTGGTAATACAGTGGTAATATAGTGGGGATACAGTGGTGATACAGTGGTACTACAGTGGTGATACAGTGGTAATACAGTGGTGCTACAGTGGTAATACAGTGGGGATACAGTGGTAATACAGTGGTAATACAGTGGTGATACAGTGGTACTACAGTGGTAATACAGTGGGGATATAGTGGTACTACAGTGGTACTACAGTGGTAATACAGTGGTGGTACAGTGGTAATACAGTGGCGGTACAGTGGTGATACAGTGGTGGTACAGTGGTGATACAGTGGTGATACAGTGGTGGTACAGTGGTGATACAGTGGTAGTACAGTGGTGGTACAGTGGTGATACATTGGTGGTACAGTGGTGATACAGTGGTGATACAGTGGTGATACAGTGGTAATACAGTGGTGGTACAGTGGTGATACAGTGGTGATACAGTGATGGTACAGAGGTAATACAGTGGTGATACAGTGGTGATACAGTGGTAATACAGTGGTGATACAGTGGTGATACAGTGGTAGTACAGTGGTACTACAGTGGTGATACAGTGGTACTACAGTGGTGATACAGTGGTAATACAGTGGTGGTACAGTGGTGATACAGTGGTGATACAGTGGTGATACAGTGGTGATACAGTGGTGGTTCTACAGTGGTAATACAGTGGTGATACAGTGGTGCTACAGTGGTAATACAGTGGGGATATAGTGGTGATACAGTGGTACTACAGTGGTACTACAGTGGTACTACAGTGGTGATACAGTGGTGATATAGTGGTACTACAGTGGTACTACAGTGGTAATACAGTGGTGATACAGTGGTAATACAGTGGTGATATAGTGGTAATACAGTGGTAATACAGTGGTGATACAGTGGTAATACAGTGGTGATATAGTGGTAATACAGTGGTACTACAGTGGTAATACAGTGGTGATACAGTGGTAATACAGTGGTACTACAGTGGTGATACAGTGGTGATATAGTGGTACTACAGTGGTACTACAGTGGTAATACAGTGGTGATACAGTGGTGATACAGTGGTAATACAGTGGTGATATAGTGGTAATACAGTGGTAATACAGTGGTGATACAGTGGTAATACAGTGGTGATATAGTGGTAATACAGTGGTACTACAGTGGTAATACAGTGGTGATATAGTGGTAATACAGTGGTACTACAGTGGTGATACAGTGGTGATACAGTGGTAATACAGTGGTGATATAGTGGTAATACAGTGGTACTACAGTGGTAATACAGTGGTAATACAGTGGTACTACAGTGGTAATACAGTGGTAATACAGTGGTGATATAGTGGTAATACAGTGGTACTACAGTGGTAATACAGTGGTGGTACAGTGGTGATACAGTGGTGATACAGTGGTAATACAGTGGTAATACAGTGGTGGTACAGTGGGGATATAGTGGTACTACAGTGGTAATACAGTGGTGATACAGTGGTGATACAGTGGTGATACAGTGGTAATACAGTGGTAATACAGTGGTAATACAGTGGTACTACAGTGGTAATACAGTGGTGGTACAGTGGTGATACAGTGGTGATACAGTGGTGATACAGTGGTACTACAGTGGTACTACAGTGGTACTACAGTGGTGATACAGTGGTGATATAGTGGTACTACAGTGGTACTACAGTGGTAATACAGTGGTGATACAGTGGTAATACAGTGGTGATATAGTGGTAATACAGTGGTAATACAGTGGTGATACAGTGGTAATACAGTGGTGATATAGTGGTAATACAGTGGTACTACAGTGGTAATGCAGTGGTGATACAGTGGTAATACAGTGGTACTACAGTGGTGATACAGTGGTGATATAGTGGTACTACAGTGGTACTACAGTGGTAATACAGTGGTGATACAGTGGTGATACAGTGGTAATACAGTGGTGATATAGTGGTAATACAGTGGTAATACAGTGGTGATACAGTGGTAATACAGTGGTGATATAGTGGTAATACAGTGGTACTACAGTGGTAATACAGTGGT